ACGACACACACACACACACACACACACACACACACACACATATATATATATATATATACGTAGGAAAAAGTTTATATAAGGTTGCAACCTTAAAATGTAGAACTATAGATACACCTCAAAAATCCATTGGAAAAGGCTCTTTTAATGTTGAAAAAATTTCTAATTGATCATTTGTATATCAAGATGTATGAATATGAAAGAAAAAAAAGATTTTGAGTCCCAGAAATAATGCATCTTACAATACATTATCTAGACCGTCCATTTTCAAGATTTTCATACGTTTATAGATCTGCTTGATTTTAACCATTTTTGGAGTTTAAAATTCTATAATTAGATATGAAAATAGATTTTGAGATGATCATAAGAATTTTTTCACCAAAATTACATGTTATGATAAAATTTGGAGGTACACCTTAATTGGATTGTTTAAGGTTGCAACTTTATATAGAAACCACACACACATGCACGCGCACACACACGCGTCATACACAAGCACGTGCACGCTCATCACGCTCACGCTCACGCACACGCTTATGCTTATTACCGTCCAAAAATACTATGCACACACACGTCTATAGGCGAAAGCACTACGCAACGCCTATAGGCAAAAATGAATTAGTGATTTCGCTTGTGCTCATCACCGTCCAAAAATACTATGCACACACACGGCTATAGGTGAAAACACTACGCAACGCTTATAGGCGAAAATGAATAGTGATTTCGTTTATGCTCATCACCGTCCAAAAACACTATGCAACGCCTATAGGTGAAAATGAATAGTGATTTCGCTTATACTCATTACCGTCTAAAGCTCATCGTACGGTCACAGTTGTCAGGTGTCTGGTAGTGTTAACGCCTATAGGCGAAAACACTATGCAACGCCTATAGGCAAAAATGAATAGTGATTTCCCTTATGCTCATCATCGTTCAAAGTTCATTGCACGATCACAGTTGTCCGGTAGTGTTTTAGTTTTCATTTTTTTCTCTAAATCGGAATGATCTGAAATTTAAAGTGTCTATTCATCAAAAATAGGAGAATCTAATAAAAATATAATTTGCAAAATATAAATTGACCAAAATACCCCCATAAATTTACGAGGGTATTTTGACCACTTTATATTTTGTGAATTATTTTTTCATATTTTTATTAGGTGCGCCTCACTAAGATGTACACATGCTCCAAATTTTAAATCATTTCGATTTGTAAAACAAATGACAAATTGAAACACTACCAGACAACCGTGACCGTGCGATGAACTTTGGACGGTGATGAGCATAGGCGAAATCACTGTTCATTTTTGCCTATAAGCGTTGGGAAGACTTTTCCATATATATATATATATATGTGTGTGTGTGTGTGTGTGTATATATATATATATATATAGGAGTAGTGCATCTTGCAATACATTATCTAGACCATCTATTTTCAAGATTTTGATATGTTTATAGATCTGCTTGATTTTAACCTTTTTTAGAGTTTAAGCTTTTATAATTAGATATGAAAATAGATTTTGAGATAATCCTAAGAATTTTTTCACCAAAATTACATGTTATGATAAAATTTGGAGGTGTCTTAATTGGATTGTTGAAGGTTGCAACTTTATAGAAACCACACCCATATATATATATATATATAAATGGGAATGGATCCTATCAGCCCACGGGCTGATTGCTATAGTGTCAGCTAATTGCCTAGATTGAATCTGGGCCGATCTGACGGTCATGACCTTATTTCGTATTTGAATTTTCATTTTTTTTCTATAAATAAAATCACTTCAAAATTTAGGTGTACATTCTACTAATCAAGGCGCACTTAAAAAAAATATAGAAACAATAATTTGTAAAATATAAATTGACTAAAATACCCTGAAAAGTTTTGGGGGTATTTTGGTCAATTTAGATTTTTTGAATTATTTTTTAATACTTTTATTAGATTCCACTATTTTTTTAAGAATAAACGCTCAAAATTTCAAGTGATTTGGATTTGTATAAAAAAAATGAAAATTTGAATACGAGATGAGGTCGTGATCATTGGATTGGGCCTAGATTGAATCTGGGTTGTTCGCTGACACTATAGTTGTTAGCCTATGGGCTGACAGGATCTTTTCCCATATATATATTTTCATATGTATGTGTATATATATAGGAAAAGTCTTAAAAATTCCTATAAGCGAAGTGCTAGAGTGTTTCACGCTCATCACGGACGTGCTTTGTCTGTGACGGTTTTTAAGAACGCCCATCACGCACATGCTATGTCTGTGACGGTTTTGCTTAAAAACCGCCACAGAGCCATGGTGGTCCCCCATATTTTTGGCTTCAAATTTATGTGAAAAAAATCCTGTCACGAGCTTGCTATGTCTGTGATGGACCGCCAAGGACATGCTAAGTTTGTAATGATCTTTAATCCATGCCATCCAAAAAAATCGGACGGCGCTGAGCCTATGGTAAAAAATATTGTTTTTCGGACGGCGTTGAGCCTATGGGCCAAAATACTGTTCATTTTCTCCCATAAGCGTTTTGTAGTCTCTTCTATATAGATATATATATATATATATAGAGTAATGATCCTATAGGACCCTTCCCCACCCATTTATGTAGGACCCATCACCATTAAAGTTAGTATAGATCTCTAGAAAAGTTATCACATGGGTGTGAGACTTGACTTTTCTATAGATCTGTGCCAAATTTAATGCTGATCTTTTGGGGTCCTATACACATGGGTGAGGGAGGGTCCTATAGGACCATTTATCATATCGATATATATATATATATAAATTATTGCAGGGTGCCTGCTTGGTCATTGAGCACCTGGTCGGCCGCTTAAGGAGCCTAGTGTTTTCTGAAACCTTGGGGATATGTTGGACTGGGAGGGTAATAAGCATAAAAAATCAGAACTTGTCAGAACATTACAACAACTTCCGAAAAATATGGTATTTTGTAGAGGGTGGGTGTGAGGGAGGGAGGGAGAAAAAGTTGCATCAACATTTGAACTGTTACATCTATAGAACTTTCAAGCAACTTCCAAATATATGGCTGCTGTTCGAAAAAAATTTCAGTTTTTATGTGGCTTTTTGATTTAGGAGGTATGAGATAAGTTTTCTCATGAGGATGTATTTTGGATAAATTGTCTGAAATAAAGGGTGTATCTGATCAATAAAAGCAATTTGAAGATAAGTGTATCAGTTATTTTAGATTTCTTGGTTATATGAAATGGCCATGCTCTGTATTTCTAATTTTCATTAAATTGTTTTATGGATCTAGTAATGAAAGCCTTTTCTTTTTTACAGGAACCCGTATGTGGAGAAGAGGAGCTGATACCGATGGCTATGTTGCTAACTTTGTAGAAACTGAGCAGATCTTATTCTGCAACGGCTTTTCTGCTTCTTTTCTACAGGTAAGCAGTTCTTATTCATCTTCTTCTTGTCCTTTTTTTTTCCCAATATTTATATGGTACTTGCTATGTATCTAATGACAATTGTTCACTTGTTTGAAAGTCATTGTCTAGACCTTCAAATTATTTGTAATTGTATTTCTTTAATTTAATAATGCTTTGGTTTTTATGATAGTTGTTATATTAGTTATTATTTATTATAGTTTGCTAAAACATCATACCCATAGAATGAGTATAGTTGAGATGAAGCTGTTGAGGTAGATGAGTGACATGACAAGAAGGGATAGAATTTGAAATGAATACATTTGGGAGAATTTAGGTGTGACACCAATAGGTGATAAAATGAGAGAAAGTAGACTTAGATGGGCTGGCCATGTGTGCTGAAGACCCAGTATTAACAGCTGTTAGGAGGTGCAAGTCAGTTCAAATGGAAGGCTAAAAAAGGGCAAGGGACAAGCCCAAAAGGGCATGGTTGGAAGTAGTGAAAAAAGATTGAGGATTTATAGCCTCAGTGAAGTTATGGTTCGTAATAGAGCAGAAGGGCAGAACAAGATTTCTGTAGCAGATCCCAATTAGTTGGGAAAAGGCTTTGACGATGATTTATTACAGTTTGCTTTTACTTTGAATGGAGAATGTCAATGATTTTTTAATTTTAATTTATTTTATTTTTTGGTAGATTTGAAGTTTAAATGTGGCTATGTAGTATGATCGATTATAGAATCATAACCATGAAATGAAATTGAATTAAAAATTATTCTTAGTTGTGAATTTTATGTGATATGTTTTCTTGATCTGCCACTCTTTCTAATTTTATTTTTAATGGAATTTCATATTTTTCTTCAAATGTTTTTATCTTATGCCTTGCGTTGCCTCCACACATATGGTTGATACTCGTTCTCACCTTTGACAACCTTAGTAGTAAGGGAACTAGGATTAATTATTGATAGAAGGTTCCATATGTACAGATCAGTGTTACTTATGAGACGTATCAAACTTTTAGATAAAAGTCTGCATGGTTGTCACCACACCCTAACACCTTATCTGTGTATATGCATCCGATCAGAGACTTGCATCAACATCAATATGTCTGCGCTCATAGATGTCTATTTCTGCATGTATGCATATATTGTTTATATCTAAAATGGAAATTTTATTTCATTTCGAAGTATACTAAGTTGGATATTATGCATTAATTTTTCTAGGTTCGAGGATCTATTCCATTACTATGGGAGCAAATTGTTGATTTGACATACAAACCTAAATTTGAGGTTGTGAGCCCTGAGGAGGCGGTGAGTTTTTTGAACATGTTTCTTCTATAAGTAATCAGGTATCAGTGGCAGTTTAATGGTGCTTTGTCTGGGTTCTGTTTGGTTGGTTGGTAGGGTGGAGCAAAATTTTGGGGTTCAAATTTGAACACACTGCACCAAAACAGAAAAACAAAAGAATGTAATGCTCATTTGGAGTCTTCTATGTTCTTCCTTGCAGCCCCGAGTCGTTGAGCGCCATTTTTTGGATTTGGGGAAAAGATATGGATCTGTTTTGGCAGTTGACCTTGTCAATAAGGTAGTCAAAGTTTCGAAACTTTTATGTGTTGGTTTTCTTTTCTTTTTTTGTTTGTTGATTTCTCCTTATTTCCAATTATAAGATACATTTTCTATCTTATTATACATGAGGAAATGTCTTTACTAACTTCAATTATCCTCACCAGCATGGCAGTGAGGGCCGCTTGAGTCAAATATTTGCCAATTCGATGCAAAATATTGTTAATGAGTCTATAAGGTCAAGAACTGTTATTCTTTCTTTATTTATACTCAAGTTTTTGTATATATTAAGAGAAGTTTCTTGTATCTCCATGCAATAGTGTCAAATCTTGCTTATCTTCTCTGCAGATATGTGCAATTTGACTTTCATCGAATATGTGGCCATATCCACTTTGAACGCCTTTCTATTCTTTATGATCAAATCTCTGATTACCTCATGAAACACAGGTATGCAATCTATCCTTCCTATTGAAAGTGTGGGCCTGTATTAATGGTGATTCTAGTCGACATTGTGCTTATTAAATCTTTATACTAAGGTAAAATGCACTATATGCTCTCGTAAAATGATGACCTAAAATTTATTGCAGTTGTAAATAACCTTCCCCACCACAATAATACAGAAGGGAATGACCATTTGTACCTGCTTTGCTTTTCTTAACCATCGCTCGACGATTGAAACGAGTATTATAATTCCCTAGCTGTAGCTGATCCGTATCCCCTTTTGCCGCTTGAATTGATTCATCAATTCAAGAAAAGGGTTGCTGCTAATGGATGACTGCTGGGTTTCGAGTGCTCCGATATAGATGACTAATATATTCCCGAAACAGTGAGATGTAGATATAGCTGCAATTTGAGAAGCGGATAGCCTGCCTGAATGATTACTCCTTACCCTACTAGCCAAGATAGCTGTACAAGTCGTGGTCACTTTGTAGTTTATGGCATGCAATATCTTATTCAAACTTTTCCCTAGTTGCCGGGATCTCCCAACCTAGGTGTAGATCCCTCTCTGGGACATCACTCCCTCGATCTAGGATAGGGATATCCAGGGGATCACGATTCTTAAATTTGGGATCTTGATCCCCACTTTTTAGGGATCACTCATACCCAACAAGAGACTAAGAAAATGATTCATTTGGGTCTTAATTACAATCATACTCTGTCTAGTGCTTTTTGAGGTTGTATAGCGTAAAATCGTAAATAATACAGGTTGATATGCTTTTGGAGGTCATAAAGTGTGAAAATGTTATTCAGTTATTAAAAAATCAGCAATCTAGATTGGTATAACCCATCTGGATCTGGAATCGCCCAAGGTTGTGTTGGTGCTTAAACTGAATAGGCTGTTTCCTTATATAAATAATGCTATAGGTAACTTATATTATAAAAGTCAAATTGCTCTGTTGGTGAGAGCGTGTGCATGTTATCCAGTTCAATTAATATAAATTTAATTGAACTTTTATAAATCTGGAATCCTAAGTGATCTCTTTATAAATCTTTTATGTAGTTAGAGCCAGTTCAATTAATATAAATTTATAATATATATAAATTATATCATAGAAGTCAAATAGCTATGTTGGCTAGAGCACATGGGCCTTATCCACAAGGTCGGAGGTTTGAACCCTATTAGGTGCATTTTTTTTTAGAATTTTTAAATTTTTTAAATTATATAGTTTATTTTTTCCAATTGAAACTAGTTTACTTTTGACTTTTGAATGTTAAAAAGAAAGAAGGGAGAGTTCGAAGTTCAAAACTCTGACCTTGTCGTTACAACTCCAAGGTTCCAACCAACTGGGTTATTTGAGTTATATGATACATTTTGTATATTGTAAAATATAGATCATGATTTCTTTTTTTTCTTCTTCTTCCTATTTTTTTTTGGGTGGGGTTACCAATCCAGTTGATCCAGATTGCCGATTCAGCTGGTCCAAACCGGATCGGTGGTGTGCGACCCACCCCACAGATCCTTTTTTAACACACTATTCTAAATAAAGCAGATTTTATCAATAAAAAATCGGCTCCCTTGTATTGTTATCAGTTATCATGGTGCCTTATCATAATATTTTATATTGTATTTTGTGGGATTTTTCTACAAAAGGTATATAAAATATTCTTTATTAGTTTAATAAAATTTAATTAGTAACTATTTAATTTTTTATTGCTCTTTTTTATTCTCATTTTTTGTATTTTGTGGGATTATCAAGTTATTCAATTTTTATAAAATGTTTGAATTTTATATTTTTATATGATCAAATAATTGTTCGGAATGTGCTTCCAACCTAGGGAGCTTCGAGCATTTTCTACTCCCTCGCTTCCGCACCATCTAATGTTTCTAACAATTATAAGTTTTTCCATATAAATAGTTTATCGTCATGTGTTGTCCTATGATTTATGTTTTTTATTAGATAGGGCACATGGGTATGATGTGCATTTTTGTAATGGTTAGGGTTAGATAAATTATCCATTCCATGTAAATTGTTTATCCAAACTATGAAAGGGTGGAAGATATAACATTTGCTGCTGGAGGTCTCTTAATGCAACTAAAGCTTTTGGGCCTAAAGTTTACTAAGCTGTAAATAACCAACCAGGTAAAGAATGATGCTCCTAGTGCCCATCCGTAGTCCATATCTTGATCGAGACCTTTCTTGTGTAGAAAAAAATTATATTCTAGTAAGTGTTGTATGGCTTAGGAGGTGGCCCGAAACACTGAAATGTTCCCATTTCCAAGACCTCGCATTCTTATGCAGAATAGGTGCCAGCACCAAACAACTGAGGAAAATGAAGATTCTGATATAAGGCATGGGCCCGAGAGGAGGCTGTCATGCTAGTGGGGTGGCTGATATCCACTGCCTGGGAGGTGGTGGAACGATTTGTTGTTCTGGTTCTGAACTTTCTTCTGGTCACACCCTATTATGCTTTCTATTTCCTTTGGGTTATCTGGAGTAACATTTGGTCCTGAATCGACAGGGTCAGTGGCTGTGAGGTCGATAGGCCTTTTGGTTTGTTGGATTCTACTTCAATGGTGGCTCCCAAAGGAACTCAGGCCTCATGTGGATAGGTTTCTTCTTTAGTGGGCCATGGAAGATACAACGTAATCGCGTATGAAATTCTTGGGGTCGTCTAGCTGACCACAAGTAGTTCGGATAAGGCTCGAATGATGATGATAACGATATTCCTCAGGATAAATGGGATATCTGCTATTAGAATATCTTATAATGGATGACGAGGGAAAGATAGTTAAGGGACATAAGTTCACGGCAATGTAGGGTTCAGACAATGTTTTCATAACCATGTATAGTTCTCTTTAAAGCGGCCAAAACTAACGTGTTGCTTTTTGGGAGAGCAATGAGTTTCGTTATCAATTAATCATAGGTTTGCTAGTTGCTTGCCCAAACTTGTCTGTTCTGATAAAAGTATTGAATACATTTGAACATACATGGTTCAATTTTATCTGCAGTCACTGATAACTTGCTTTGCTTTGAAATTTTTAGATACTTTATATTGAATGTGAAAGGAGAGAAGCTTGATGAACAATTGGGAGTTGTTAGGACCAACTGCATTGATTGTTTAGACCGTACTAATGTCACTCAGGTAATGCCCATGCCCACATTTATCATGTTCCATTATTCAAACATCAGCTACCTTGTAAGTTTAATTTAATTATGACATCCTATTTTGTTTATATATTTGAGTATGACATACAACTGGTAATGGCATTACCTGGTTGGATAAAAAAAACTGTGGTTCATTGTAATTTCTTGTTGCAGTGCATGCTAATAAATAATCACTTCTTGAAATGCATTAATGTTACCACTGTCAAAAGAAAAAGAACTTTACTTTCAAGGGTGTTTCACTTATGTCAGTTTTGTTTTTGCTGTTGGTATTTCTCAGTTGCATTTGTTTTAACTTTTAACTGGCGTATATTAGTGCCAAACTTAAAGGAGAGCAATATTGAGATATCTTCTCCGACTAACACCTTTTTATGGCCCTTCCCATATATATTCACCACACAGCCTTTCCCTACTGCTGGTGTGACCAAGCTTGTCAGAATCAAACTGTAGACTTGGTTCACTGGGTGCAGTTTAAATTTAACTGTAGAATCAGCTTGTAATTTGATCCACAAAACAATAGGAGAACAATGATTGAAAAAAACATAGAAATACAAAACTTTGGGGAAATCATTTATAGTTTCGTAACTAAAAATATCACCTCCATACCTTTTGGTGCATAATGGTTTCATTGAAAAAAATAGCAGTTACACCATTATACTAGAGGTAACAAGTGCATTAAACTGATTGGAAATGAGACAGGCCATGGTCTTCCCGGTGAACTTGTATTTGTCAAGCTACCTGTCACTGAATTTTGATCCCTAGAAAAGGATTACATTAAGGTAAACATTTTCTCTGATCATTAAGACAATAAGGAATCCTAACTCTAGCTTATTAGAAAACTAGTAGCAGGTAAAATGTACATCACGTTTTCTTTAAAATGGTAAAAGTTAATGGTTGTGTATAGTCTTCTTATTTTATCACTAATCGTTAAGTTTGGAATAATATATGTTGATTTACCTATTTTATGTTAGTTAAATAACCGAGGTAGTTAAATTACCCAGAATCAATGATGATTTATATAAGTCAAAAGATCACTTTCTCCCTCTCCCTAGGGTTCATATCATCCACTGACTCCCTCAAGTAAAATCCTATCTAGGAATATTATTGGCACCCCTAATTGTGGGAATGTAACCCCATCATTCTAGGACCAACCTCAATAAAACACATTTCATGCACACTTTATACGTGACTGATGAAAATAATGTCCTAAGATTGAACAAAGACTTATCACATTTTTGGACGTTTAGATCTAATTATCTAGGAACTCAAAATCATCATCATATGAGCCGTATCTCAACTATTGGGATTCGATTACAGGAATCCTGTTATGCCATTTTCCATTATCAAGGGCCATACCCTTAGTCAAACCGTAAGTTACTATATCTCTTTCACTGCTTCTATCCATGTCCTTTTCAACATTCCCTTTGCTCAACAGGGTGGTTTCAAGCCTCTAGGGATAATGCAGGGAGATCCATTTTCCCGTTTGCTATTCACCTTGGTAGCTGAGGTTCAGTACTCGTTGGAAGGTATTTATGAAAAGGAGCTGTTGATGGCTTTCAAAGCTTATGGCGAAGGACATTTAGTATCACTTCGCAATAAAGCAGATGATATGATCATTTTCGTGAGCATGGACTTAAATGCTTTAGGGTATTGTTGGATATGAAGGTAAATATTGCCAAAACTAATATTTTGGGTGTGATTTCCAATATAACAATCTCTAGTGTGGGAGAGATGGATTGTCACTTCCTACTTGGCTTTTTGGCAGTAGTAAGCCCCTAAAATCCTCTTGGGATGGGGTGATAAAGACAGTGCATAGAAAACTTGGCATTTCCTATGGAATGGGGCACAAGCAAAGAATGAATGTCATCTGTTGAAGTCAGATTTAGTCAATTGCCCCAAGAATAGGAGTGGTTTGGGATAAGAAAACTCAAGGAAAACAACCAAGCCTTACTTGGAAAGTAATAGTGGAGATTCCAGGAACCCACACATCAACTCCGGAAGAAACTCATGCAACGAAAATACGGTGTTAACGAGAATGGGTGGTTTGTCAAACCCCACCCATACACAAAGCAATTATCGAGACTATGGAAAGGATTTAATGGCGGACGATCCAAGTATATGGGGCAAACAAGGACCCAGATTCTTGGAGGACATTTGGCCGAAATCTGGGGCCACTTAAGGAAATATATCTGAGACTGTTCGCAATAGCAGCTATTGCGTATGAGTCGGTACATGAAGAGATCCAGGGTTAAGGGAGGGCAGTTTGGATCCCAAAATTGTGTAGAAACCTCAAGGATGAAGGCCCGAGGTTTTAAGGGATGTCTGGGAGAGTTACATGAATTCTTTATGAGTCTTCCAGAGAGAAATCATGATCTGGAGTGGGAACAGCAAGATATGTGCTCAGTCAAGTCCGAAAGAGCCCTAGTTCCCATCTAGAAGGATCTTTTAAGTGTATCAAAAGTGTGGGGAGACGTGGGCCACCCAAAATTCAAGCTTTTGGATAGTTAATGATATTCGATAAATTTATAACAATTGACCAACTGATGAACCTAAGAATAATTCCTAATAAGTGCAAAATGCTCACAAAGGAGACTGAGGATGTAAGCACCTATTTATGTATTATGAAACTACTGCCAAGGCAAGGGAATATTTTCTTTAATTATTTAGTTTTTAGTGGGCAGGATCAATCCAAGACTTAATCAAGCTATGATTTGCTCCAACTATGGGTAAAAGAGGGTTGCTTCTCTTTTGAGTCTGCATTGTAGCTATACTATGAATCATCTGGACAGAGGGAACTCTCGTAGATTCAATTCCAGATATCACGCAGTTGCTTGGTTAAAGGACATGGTCGAAAATCAGGCTGTATCCAAGGCTTATATAGGTTTGGAGTTTTGATGGATCTTAATAGTGGGTTTTGAAAACCAATGGCTTAAACTAGCAACATCTGTTGTCTATGAGAAAAGAAAGCCAGTGGTATGGTTGCCGATTGATGAAGGAAATTCAAATTCAATTTTGATGGTACTTCTCAAGGGAACCTAGGGCCTACCAAGTGGGGGGAGCATCGAAAGATACATGAGAGTAGTATACTAAAGACCTATTCTGGCCCTTTTCGAAGTGTGGTTGACAATGGGATGGGTGGCCTGGCCCAGCTCGGTTGACCCAGCCATAGTATGTGGTTTGACGGCTTTGCCCGATGGCAAGGCCGACCTGGCCTTAGGCAGGGGAAAGGTCTGGCCAGGCCAACTAAGTTTTCTCATTATTATTTTATTTATTTTTTAAGTTCAATTAGGCCCATCCAGGGCTTTGGGGCCTTTCGGCCATGGCCCTGGCCCAACCTCTAGGGGCCCGAGCCAGTCCTGGCCAGCTACCAGCTGTATTGCCAAGGTGTGATTGAAGCAAGGCTGAAGCATGGACAATGGTAATAGGTCTTTGGAGTTTAAAACCAGAAGGGGAAGGAGATAGTAATAGAAGGGGATTCAAAAAATGAAATCACATGGGGAAGAAGGATACTGATCCCCCATGGAGTTTAAGGATAGTTTGGATGAAATTTCTGCATAATTTAGCAATCTCTTGGTTTCTCTTCACATCTCGTGGATGGAAACCAATAAGATAGCTGATCAATGGGCACGAGATGGCATCAATCAGATTTATACGCAATCCTTTTTCTATCTTCTCGGAATGTCACTGGGACAAATTTTGTGACTATTTACTTTTAGAGTCTGAAAATATTAATGAATAATGATTAACTATTAATTTAAAAGAAAGTCACTAAAGTGACACAAATGTGTTTACCAAAGGATAGAATGAAACGATTCAATCAAACTTTGTTGTTATTTTTACATCTGTTTGTTGGAGGAGAAGTTAGTAATTGAAGTCTATTTGTTTCTTTTTATACTCTTTTTGTTGTTTTAGATTTTGTTTATTATTATCGATTGGTGCTTTCTTCTTGTATGTTAATGTTCTAATATCTATGATAAATGCTTCAGAGCATGATTGGGAGGAAAATGTTGGAAAACCAACTCCAACGAATAGGGGTTTTCAGTGACGATGAATCTATACATAAGTATCCAAGTTTTGACGAGGGCTTCAAAATCAGTAAGTGCTTATAACCTACTGCAATTTATTCAAAATACTAACTTATTTAATGCCTTTTAACAAGGGACTTGTGCCACATTCAATTATGAAATCTTGGAACTTCTCAAAGTCTCAGCTGTGTATTGTGTGTGTGCGTGTGTGTGTGCATGTGTGTGCAGGCATGTGTGTATGCATGCACGTGCGTGTGTATCTGTGTTAGTTATTGGTTCATCTATAAATGCATCTTAATGTTGATTTCAGTGTGGGCTAACCATGGAGATGAGATTAGCATCCAGTATTCAGGAACCCCTGCATTGAAAGGAGACTTTGTCAGGTATTTCTATGCAACCTTGGTTGGTTTTCTTTCTTGAGCTTTCCTTCGCAAGTCATATTATGCAGTGCATGAATGCTAACATCACGTCACATAAAAATGGATCGTGTTTTTAATTTTGGCAATCTAATTATCTTAAACTTCAATGGAAACTCAGATTGTCAGGGAGAGTCAAAACAGTTAGGATATTAGTAAACTGATAGTGGAAACATCTGCTTGAGTAAAAGAACTCCAAATGTGTAGATAGTATATCTTCCTTTCTGGTCTCTTGATGAACAAATTCAACTTTCGGCCTCAGTATTTTCTTCCATCTTATTGTTTGCTAGATATGGGAAGAGGACCATCCAGGGAATCTTCAATGATGGACAGAATGCACTTGCTCGTTATTACTTAAACAACTTCTGTGATGGCACAAAACAGGTTGGTATTCAAAGGCGTGGAAGTTGGAGTTATGCAAGAAGTGTTTTACGTGAAGTTTTTCGTTTTCTTTTTTGGGCAGTAGGGACTCACTTTGATCTTAAACTATTTAGCCCTTAGAATTATAATCTCTTCTATATGAATGATTTGTTATGTACTGCATCATTCTGAATTATTTTAGCTGTGGCTTAGGATAGATTGTTCTGTACACTTTTTTTTAGATATAATACTCTTGAACAAAGGGTGTAAATAATCATGAATGATTGCTGATCTATGGATGCCAATGGATTATGTTGTGGCTGTTTATTCATATTATATTGTGCAATAGATGAGTTATATGTATGTGTAAGAACAGACCAGTAACTATGTTGAATTCATAGTTATTTTTAATGTTCTTTTTCTTTCTCAAGGGCCATGTGGAGTATATCTGTAGTTTATAAGTGCAATTTTCATGTGGCATGAGAAATATTATGCAAGGATTATTCTTCACAGTTACATGGTATCGGGGTGTTATGTCCTTCAAACCCATGATTCTTTGGAAAATCCTAATTTGGTTGATCTTCAGCACCAGTGTTCACTAGTCAGAATTTGATAAATGTAGAGGCTAAACGTCAAATTTTCTTTCATGTTCCACATACAAGAGATTCATTGTATTAACTAGTTTTCTCCCTCAAATCATATTATTTGGCTGCTTCTTCCTTTGATGGAGGTATACCTTTCTCTCTAATATAATTCTCTAAGTTTCCTGCTCAAAAGGCCCGCTGTCATCCTGAAGCCAAGCCCTGCCATAGATCTATTGTCCCCATCATGGCTTTAAAACTTGCAAGTCAGGTTGAAACTTTTCCGAGTTGACTTGCCTTGGGCCTGACAGAGTCTTGTTGTCGTATCCAAAGACTTATCCAAGTAATACTTTTTCGATAAGTCTCGGATGAGTCTCTCTCGCTCTCACTCACTTCATCAAAATCTATTTTGACAATAGTTATCAAAATTGGGCCGAACTGGTGGTTGAATCGGTCGAACCTCCAACCGGTGCCTTGGCTGGTCTACCATGAGCAATAAACTGGTATTTCTTGAGAACCGGTCAAAACCGGTGGATGACGAGTTGAACCGGTTTGATTGTCGGTTTTGCCTGTACTCTTGGATGAACTGACCCAATCTTTTCCCCACCTCTTCCTATCTTCTGGTCTGATTTTTATCTTTTTTCTATATTTTCCATTTTGATGCACATGATATTTTATTTCCAAAATATTTAATTCAAAAGGCCTCAAGATTTTGGCCAAAATTGCCACCCTAAATTGTTAGAAGGAAAATTTTCTTACTTATCAATTTTCTTTCCCTCTTTTTGTGCACACTTTTTTCTCTCTCTCTTTGATGGGGACAAAGGCGCACCAGGTCCGTCCTCATTGATGCACTTAATAGCATAGGCTATATTAATTTTTGACATAATTTACTAAATTGAAATATCCTCCACTATTTAATTTTTTGCACGAGTTGGAATTTTTTACAATAATTTATTTAACCTAATTTAAAATGGATTTACCAAATGCTTTTCTTATTTATATTGAATTTTTGAAATTTAGTTAATTTTTAATTCTTTATGCATATGAAAAAGGTTTGAGCAGTTGGACCTCTGGTTGGACCAGTTTTAAATGGACCAGTCCCTTTGCTGGTTCGAGCACTGGTCTGATCCCAATAACACTATTTTAGACCTATGCTCTCTCTCTCAAAACTTCTCTCAACCTTCCCCCCAAATCTATTTGGGGTGTTTGGACCTTTAGTTTTCTAGCTCATTGGGATGCAGGTGCACTGGGTGTAACTGTTGTCCCCGACCTAGTTGTCCATCCTAGGTATTGACTAAGTGAATTTGATGCCAATGAAAGTGCAAGCTCATGTCCTAGTTGATTTTGTACATTTAATCTTAGGAGTGGGTTCCGAGGCTGTTAGAGGTTGATCCTGCTAATTTTAATAGATGGGTACTTGTGGGTATTCTCTATGAGTTATCTAGGACTTGTAAGGCCTACATGTGTAGTTTCCCCATTTTTTTCCACATGGCTAATGAACTGATGGATTTACTTGCGAAGAAAGGGATCCCATTGTTTCTCTTGTGGTCTATGATTCCTTTATTTTTTCCTTCCTAAATGGCTCTGCCATAAAATGCATATTTGTACTTTTTTACACTCACATGAATGATGCTTTTGTTACTGAAAAACAAATTCCAGTAATTTAGACGTGAGCACAGTTGAAAATATTCATGGTTCATTTAGAGTTTCTTGAGTCACAAGATTAATTGTTCTTTTTATGGTTTTCTTGTGGGGATTATTCTTCAGTGTCTTCTTACCCTGTCAAGTGAACACATTTCAAGTTACAGAACCAAAGAGCCTTTAATGTTTATCTGAGTGCATTATCTACTTGTACCTTTATTTTCCCATATATTAATCATACTTTGATGGGTTAGTATTCTGTACTTACAATATTATTTGATTGTTGGTTTTGTTGTTCCAACTTCTATGCATTTCTTCTAAAAAAAACTTCCATGCATTAGTCATTGAAGGTTAGCCCATATAATGGCTTTGATTGCCAACAAACAAAGAGGTCCTCATTATAAATTTGGTTGTTGCATGAACTAAAAAGGATGCTATTGATCTTCTGCATGGACATTATATTGTTGCTGTTAACCGAGACATGACTTCGTCATTGCAAGAAGGAGGCTTGGAGGCTCTAGCTGTAAGTTACTTTCATATTCATTATATCTCTTATATTTTCTACTATTTAATCTCATCTGCCTGACACATGGAAGAAATTTCATGGAAGAATCCATATTAATTCATTATATGATGTAAATTAATCAAGAAATAATTGAGGTTCTATGCATGCCTGTGTGGTTTGAACCAGAAATGTTGGATTTACCTGCATTCGCTGTAATCGAATGTACAATTTAGAAGATATGTATAATTTATGTAGGGCAGTGATTGGCTTAAAGGGATTATTGTTTTTTTGAGTAGTTGAGTTTTTGAATTTTTGGAGGATATGTAATTAAGGTGAAATTGATAAGATCTCTAATCCGCACTTATGACAAGCGTTGCGCACTTAATGATCCGTACGCTACACTTTGTGCATGAATAGTGCACATTGAGTGGTCTGTGTCTATTGAATCCGCTGGATTTTTCTCAAATCTAATGTTTCTGCTAGATAGATAAAGTAAAAATCTTGCTAAAGAGACAAATTTAAGCCAAATCGCACAGCCTGTGGCCTCCGATCTTGAAAAACGAAAATGAGGGTGGAGTCCTCAGGAGAGTACTGTACGGTATCGGACAAATCTATATGACATTTTTCTGGGTACTTGGTACATACTACCTTGTTTCAGTCTTGGCAGTCTGCCAAGCCCAAATAACTTGCCTGAGTCTGTGTCAAAAGAACTTTAAGGGCAAGGAAGTCTCATAATGTGGAAGATCTCATAGTGTTATTTATACTTGTACTAGTTTTGTTAATGGATAGGTTGTCAAGAATGTTAATGATTAGAGATGGGCCGGAAAAAGATTATGTAGACCTTGGATAAGGGATAATACTGCACATTGTTGCAAAAGTTGGTGCTCACAATGGAGTTTTTTAAGTTCTTTGTAATTTCATGGAAGGACTTTGTCTATGAGGGGAATAAATTAAATAAATGGATGAATAAAGGTGAAATTTAAGATAGGCCTAAAAAAATTCCAAAAAGAAAAAATATTCTTCTATGGTGCTCTAGTGTACATTAAAATCTTCCCAAGTCTGGCAAAACTTATGTTTGTGATGTGTGATGTCATTATTTATGCATCCAATAGGCTCTAGTCCAATAATTCATTTATTTAGCACATTATGCATACATACCTCTAAGTCAAGATTTAACATTTTCTAGAAAAGGAAATACAGCAATCCTTTTATCAAATTTCATCTGGACAAAATATATATTTGGTTGCTGATTTCTTATTTCATAGAGTTATTGTTATTTATATTTGTTTCACCTGAACGTATGAAATTGACTTTTTTGTAATTTTAATATGCAGTCATTCCCACTGGCTTCAGCATTGGTTCTAGCTGGTGTCCTCCTTGCAACCATGTCGTTGAGGCAAGGTAGGAGATATCAGTAATGCAATGTGAGCAGGTTATTGCTAGTAGATATTAACACATTCAGTTATGTATCAAGCTATGTGGAAACAGAATTGATGATGCAATTAAC